GCAAGGCAAGGCAAGGCAAGGCAGCCCCTCCTTACCTTGCTCTAGGGAGGCAGCGGTGGGGATGGAGGTGGAGGTGGAGGTGGCCAGGAGCCCCCCAGCCCTTGCTTCCCAGCCCCCTCCTCCTGGCCTTGGGGGGCTTGTGAGGTGTGGGTCCCCACGCTTCCGGTGAATGTCCACAGAGCCCAACCAGCCGGCAGCCTCTGGGAAGAAGAGGAGGAGAGAAGAGAAGAGAAGAGAAAAGAAGGAGAAGGGGCCGCCCCACACCGCCCTGCCCTGGCTGGCTTTCCCCTCCAGCAAGATATGGGGGGGGGGGACTCTTCCTCTCCTCTTTCCCCCTCCCCAGTCCCTCAAGGGCCCTCAAAATTAGCAAAAAAGTATACACTTCTTCCTACCAAAGAGACACAACTTTCCTTCCTGAGTGTATACAAAGTATTAGCACAGGGGAAGGCAGACTTCTCCAGCCCAGCACAAGCTTTATCTCCATGGGCATTTCTTCTCTTCTTCTTTTTCTTCTTCCTCCTCCTCATATATATATAGCTCAAGAGGCCGTCCTCCTTTCCCAGGGCCTGTCCTACATTTCATTCCCCCTGGAATGCCTCCAGGGGGAATTCCAAAACGTCCTCCTCCATTTGGAGCAGGAGTAAGAAGCATGGGTTTGTATTTACGTATATGAGTGTTTCTAGAATTTTTGCCCCCCCCCTCCCTTTTGTAATGTCCTTCATTTTTTTTCTGGAAAGTCCTCCCTTCTGTGGTGCCTTGGCCTCCTTTGTGGTGAGGAGGACATACCTGGTCTCCCTGTCTCATGAGGAGAAGGGGAGAAGTGTGAGGAGCAGGGCTGGAGTTGGGAGTAGGGGGTGCTTCTCCTCCCTCTCACCCTCAGGGTGCTTCTTGGGGTGACCAGGCGTCCTCCTTTTCCAGGACACGTCCTCCATGCCAACCTTCTGTCCAGGAGGCATTCCAAAGTGGCCTCCCTTTTGAGTCTGGCTAAGAAGCATGAGTTTACATTTATAGGAGTGTTTTCAGCTTTTATTTGGAACTGTCCTCCATTTTTCCTTGAATGCCTTCCATTTGGCAGTGCATTGTCCTCCTTTACGGTTAGGATATC